GAATAGTGAAAATCACTATTCGATACAGCCCTAGTTAACACCAGCTTGTCACCTGTAGCTAACAACATCAAGTTCTTGACTGTAGTTAACACCAGCTTGTCACCCTTATGTAACAACACCAAGTTCTTGACTGTAGTTAACACCAACTTGTCACCTGTAGCTAACAACATCAAGTTCTTGACTGTAGTTAACACCAGCTTGTCACCCTTATGTAACAACACCAAGTTCTTGACTGTAGTTAACACCAACTTGTCACCTGTAGCTAACAACATCAAGTTCTTGACTGTAGTTAACACCAGCTTGTCACCCTTATGTAACAACACCAAGTTCTTGACTGTAGTTAACACCAACTTGTCACCTGTAGCTAACAACATCAAGTTCTTGACTGTAGTTAACACCAACTTGTCACCTGTAGCTAACAACATCAAGTTCTTGACTGTAGTTAACACCAACTTGTCACCTGTAGCTAACAACACCAAGTTCTTGACTGTAGTTAACACCAGCTTGTCACCTGTAGCTAACAACATCAAGTTCTTGACTGTAGTTAACATCAACTTGTCACCTGTAGCTAACAACATCAAGTTCTTGACTGTAGTTAACACCAACTTGTCACCTGTAGCTAACAACATCAAGTTCTTGACTGTAGTTAACACCAGCTTGTCACCCTTATGTAACAACACCAAGTTCTTGACTGTAGTTAACACCAACTTGTCACCTGTAGCTAACAACATCAAGTTCTTGACTGTAGTTAACACCAACTTGTCACCTGTAGCTAACAACATCAAGTTCTTGACTGTAGTTAACATCAACTTGTCACCTGTAGCTAACAACATCAAGTTCTTGACTGTAGTTAACATCAACTTGTCACCTGTAGCTAACAACATCAAGTTCTTGACTGTAGTTAACATCAACTTGTCACCCTTATGTAACAACACCAAGTTCTGGATTGTAATTAACAACACCAACTTGTTACGTGTAGCTAATAATGTCTAGTTCTCCACTTGTATTTAACAACAGCAACTTGTCACATGTAGCTAATAACATCTAGTTCTCCACTTGTATTTAACAACATAATCTTGTCCCATATAGCTAATACCATCAAGTTCTTGTTTGTAGTTAACAACAGCTACTTGTCTCCTGTAGCTAACAACATCACGTTCTCGCTTGTAGTTAGCAACATCGACATGTCACCTGTAGATACCATCATCAAGTTCTCGCTTGTAGTTAACATCAACTTGTCACCTGGTGTAACAATAACAATTTCGGGCTTGTAGTTAACAACACCAACTTGTCACTTGTAGCTGACAATATCAAGTTCTCGCTTGAAGTTAACAACACCAACTTGTTACTTACTTATAGCTAGCAGCACCAACTTCTCACTTGTACTTAATAACATCAGCTTGTCGTCTATAGCTAACAACATCAACTTGCCTAAAGTTTCCAACAAAAAAAACCTTTGTTTTCTACTTTCTGCGAATTCTTTATACCCAGACAACCGGATCAGAGCTCAGATAGAGATTTTTGGCGGCGCCACTTTGATTAATCTGCTCCACAATCGCCCAAACCTACCGAGTCTAGGAACATTCTAAAATCGCTAACAGACTTTGTTAAAGGATCTAAGCGTCATGTGGAAAATGCACAAGAGGATTTGTACATCTGTGGCCCAACACTGATCTCATGATACCTGCTGTCCAAATGTTCCCTGCAGCCTGGCTTAAGACACGTGTGCTACGGCGACAGAATCCGCATAAAATCGCCATAGCTTTCACATACATGTCTCTTTCTCTTTGGGGTTGACGTGCAATTCATATTGCGTGGAGCTTAGCACAGAATTGAGATTGATTGGAATTCCGGGGGTTTATTTATTTATTTACTTCTACAATTATTGATTAAAAGTGCAGGTGCATACCAGCGTAAAGACAAACAGAGGGTGGGTGCCCTTTTAATAAGTGCCACTTTAGGGCCTTTGATGAACTAAAAAGAGTTAGTGCTATACGAACGTCAACACAAGCTGAAGACCCCACACAGGACGATACAGATTTCTGACTTAGAAGCGATGTCGAGGGATATCAATCTGGGCGGTCATGAAAACACTCAACAGTTTCCGGTTGCTTCATCAACCCATAGGAGTCGTCAGTGTAAACACAATCAAAAACATTCTTGGGAAAAGAACGGAGCACTTACAGTTATGCCTCACGTGCAGTGAAGACGATCCTGGAATGAACACATGTTTGAGGAGCATAGCAAGCTGTTGTGACCTCCACTTTCCTTTGAGAATTTGACAGGCTCTTCATTTCTACGCATGAACAACAATGCCGGAGAGGCGGGGAACGAGAACTGCAAACAAATAAGCCCGTAAAACGGATGTACACGCAAAACTCAGGTCAAGGTAAAAGCCAAAAGTCCATTTTGGACGAACAACCGCGACTTACCGCCGGAATTCACAGCCGGTGAACAAGAAGAAGAAGAAAAAAAGAAGAAGTTATGTTACAATCCTCTTAAACTTCTGACATAGCTAGTGTAGCAGAGTCCTGTTAGTTTTCCAGTTCTGCTCTTCATTGTTGAGACAGTTCGTTTCACCTGTAGGAAGAGAGTGATGAGTATATCTCCATTGCTTACTGTCAACAGTGTTTCTGCTGCACTGAAATAATAACATTACCTTCATTCTAAAGTTACTTGAGAAATGTCAGTCTTCCACAGATGGTGTTTTCTTTGCTTCATATTTCAGCATCGAGAGAAAAACCTCAGTCCATGCTTTTTTGTTTTGAGTTTGAAGATCCATCTCTGTATTGAGTTCAACTTCTACTTTTGTTTTTCTGTTGTGTAATTTATGACTGACTCTTTGGACCCATAACACCCTGTGTGTGTGTTTTTTATTATTATTATTATTATTTTATTATTATTATTAAGAATGTTAGCATTCCATGTTTTGACAATTACTTTAACATCTATAAGGCCTAACACACTGTATTTTATTACTAGCCTCTGTGGAATATGCGCGGCGTCCGTGGCCAAGGCGTTGCGAGTCCGACTCGTAATCCAACGTACTGCACTCGAAACCCACTGCTGGCTGCATGGATTTTTATCATGTCATGGGGCGTCGCAGGTCGACCCAACCTAAAATGGGTACCAGTCCTAGGGAAGTAAAGACGGCCGGCGTAATGCTGATCACATTACCCATCCAGTGCCGATTGGTCTGTAAAAAATATGGGACGCTCTTCCCATTTACTCGATGCGCCTAAGGCGTGAAAAGCGATCTTAACTTTTTACTTTACTTTGTGGAATATTTCTCAGAAGCTAGATTCTCTGCAAAACAGAAGTCACGTACACAGGCTGACAAACTGTAATCAATGCGGTTTATATGTTCTCGGAATAATGCTGGTGACAAAACTCCACTTCGGAGACACCTTGCTTCTACCTTAGGTTCTTTCTGGTTTCCGTACTTTTGTCCTAACATTTGTGTAGTCACTGTAGTGGCTGATCCATTGTCACATTTTCTGTACACACTGAAACGTTTAGCAGGTATGCGATTCAACAATATACTCTCATTCGTATTCAAAGGATTTGAATTTTCACCTTTTTGTGGAGAGATTATGTGAGGTGTTTTTTCACGTTCGTATTGTTTCTTGTCTTAGTCTTCTTATGAAGATAAATCATAAATATGTAAGTAACACCATCCTGTAGTGAACTTCCTGTTGTTGTTGCTGTTATTGTTCTTCTTCTTCTTCTTCTTCTTCTTCTTCTTCTTCTTCTTCTTCTTCTTCTTCTTCTTCTTCTTCTTCTTCTTCTTCTTCTTCTTTTTCTTCTTCTGCTTCTCTAGTCCTGTTCTGCCTGTCAGCGTCATGTTTTGAACAGGCATCGGGTGAAAGTTATAATAAACTTATAACAAGAAAACCATTAACCTGCCAATCAGAAGACAACCATTTGTGCGGATTCTTCAAGTGGTGCCATCCTGCGGTCATTGGTCACTGTCCCCACTCAGAGCTATAGTTACCAACAAGGTCCTAACAAGCATGGACTGCCTCATCGGCGGATACATTCAATTCAATCTTCTCGCCATTTCTGGCACACGAATTAAGACAATTGTGGTTATTTCCGAAGCCATCCAGCAATTTCTGCACAGACCGCCTGTTTATTCCGGCCTGTTTAATATCGGTAGCCTCTACTATTTGACATCAATCTCCAGTATTATCTCGTCTACATGTAGTTTTCTCTTACAGTTTGTTGAGCAAAATGGTTTACAAGATATCCTTGGTTGTGCTGCTGCATTGGTAAATGTAGACACGTTGGCGCTGCCTTGCAATGACACTATATATCCAAATGAGGTGGCCGCAGTAAAGTTATACAAGTCTAAAAAAGGATATAAAAGAAAATATAGAAAAAACCAAACGGTATATGTGAGCTTTACAGATTTACTCATGATAAGCAAATAGGTTGCAGCTGTCAGCCTTCATCAGCACAAAAATGACGCTACACAATGCCCTATGCCCCCTTGAATCATCTTTATCTCAAATCCCTGTAACTATCATACGAGTAGCTGGTAGTAAAAAAAATGGCTGGTATATCGGCGACCGGGTCGTCCATTGGCTGGCCGGTAGACGACTTCGTATTTGGGCCTGCCTTCTCTGAGCGCATCAACACTGCAGGAGTCCCTTTTAGTGCTTCTGGTGGCGCGCAAAGCTAAGCCGTTTTATCTGACGCACATAACCTAATCACAATTAAAACCTAAAGCTCCACTTTCAATTAGGGCCGTGTGGGAGAATGGGTACTATTCGGAGGAGCAATTTTGCAAAATAAATATTTGTGTGAGTATGTTTTGTTATTTCGCTGAGTTCGGTGTTATATTTTAGATTTTGTTTCAGTGTTCTTTTCAAGATTTGTTTGTTAAATAAGACTCTGGTGCATTTGTTGTGTCCAGTTTGCGGATCATATCTGACGCCCATTCGCCTTTGCCCGACTCTTAATTCAACATTCAACATTTTCATTATGTAATGTTTCAGATTACGAAACTTAGTTCGGCGGCTCGAAAAGGAGGAACTAAATAAAGATGACGTCAAGAGAAACTTGGAGTATGCTGCCAATGTTCTGGAGACTGTGTATATTGATGAGACCAG